GTAACTTTTATTCTCGCTGTAGTATTGTTGTTGCCGCGGCCACAATGTCGTGAAGACGCTGTGGTTCGTTGCGAAAGCGAAAATACTTTGTTTGGCCTTCCAAAAGAGGACACAATTAGAATCAGCAGTTAAGTTGTATTTACAACACTGTTCCAGAACAGTTCAAACCAAATATTTGTGTGTGTGCAACGCATTTTACGGAGGACTGTTTCCTTAACCTGGGAGAGTAGACTACAATGCTGTCTGTTCTGACTCACAACCTGTAAGTATGTTTTCATATTTAAAGAATTTGTCACTGACTATTCAAACGTGAGTTTTGGGCAGTGTAGAGTAGTGCTTGTTGTTTGTCGTTTCTCCGATCACAAATGCAGGCATGGTTTTATGATTACACGTAAAAAGACAGTCCAAGTCATTATAATCAGTAATTATGTCCCCACTGGATGCAACAAATGCCTCGTTTGTAATGGGTTTTATTGGTTTTGTCTCGTCGTTCTGGGACATGGCATCACAGTATGCTGAGGGGCGTAACACTTCCGTCTCACGCTTGAGGTATTCGGCCAGTCACAACGCACTGGATAGCTGGCCAATCACAGCACACCTCGCTTTTCAGAACAATGAGCTTTGTAAAAATTTACGCGTTTCAGAAAGGCGGGGCATAGAGGAGAAAAAATAATGTACAGTATGTGGAAAATAATGTTGTTTGAACCTTAAACCACAAACACATTTCATTACACCAAATACACAAAATAATGTTATTTTTTAGCAACGTCATATGACCCCTTTAAAAAATAAAATCTTAAAGACCCCCAAATTTTGAATAGCACTATACATCTGCTAAAAGTACATTTTGTCAACATTTAAGACATATTTCAAAAGGCACCACTGAATGACAGTCAACTTGCACATAGTTTTGTTCTGTATATTTTGGGCTAAGCATGCCTTGAATACAAATGTCAGATGAATTGATCAGCTAAAACAGAACGTAATAGGACTACACAATTCTGTTGTGCGATGAAAGCGACTTGTATTTTTGCGACAGACAAGCATGCTGAGTGTCTTGAATCAGTCTTATAGCCCCCCTGAGTCTCTCTCCTCACCCTGCTGAGCTGAAAATCTCTGTTATCTGACACAGCCGTGCACGAAAGTATGCACGCAACCGTGTTCACACACACACTCAGACAGGCACCTACTGATCTGAGAAAACATCTCATTACATGTGAATTTGCATAATTTTAATAAAGCCAAATATAAAACACTTCAGGGTCAAAGCACACACATAAGATAGAAGAAATCCCTGTCAATGAGTGTGAAACTGTCACGGTGGGAGAAACCATGACTTTATTTGTTTGTTCCAGACGGTCTGACGAGGTGATGAACACAATCATCAGTTATTACGGAGGGGAACAAAGCTCATTAGCCATACCAAGAGAAAACAGAGCGTAGAAAAATCTCTATCACACACCATCTCATACCGCTATACCAAAGCTTTCAGGCTTCGGATGAATATGAACCAAAACATTAACAACAATGTTAATGTTATATTTTAAGTTCTGTTGCACAATATGCTCTATGACACTCATTAATCAGGCTTCTCAGTTTGATGCCGATCTAATGCTTGTGTCCCATGTGGTTTCTGAGTATTCTAATCGATCATAAAGACTTCACAGTGTGAAAAATGTGTCAAAAAAACAACAATGGTCAAATATACACTAACAATTGAAATTTATGGATTTGGTTAGATTTTGATCCAATGAATCGGATCAAAATTTAATTTGAATCAAACTCAATCAAATCAAATGAGGTGTTTACATGAAGGATTTTCAGTCTGATTGAGCCATCGATCCGATTACTAATGGCTCATTTGGTTGCATGTAAACAATTTTTAGCGAAAAATACAAAAAAATGTAGTAAACATTTCTCATGACTGTTTTCCCACCCTCTATCTGACCCTGACAATTAAACTGATCTCTTTTTTTATGCTGTGCCTTTAAGACTTCAATATAAACACCCTCATTGTATATGAAATATTAACAGCTCTGTCCTGCGCTCTCACACAAGCTGCAGGTTTGCTGTCGGATCCAACATAGCCTCACTGCATTGTGACATGTTCACGAAACAACAAATGATCGTGCTGCTAGAATGCTAAAGTATCATTATGAGTATTCATCATCAATCTGGTATCAAATGCATTTGTTGAGGGTAAATCAGTTAACTTTCTCTCTGGATCAAATATCACAAAAACATTTCCTCCTTTTATTCTTTCTTTCCTGTTCCACGGCAATCAATGCAGTGATAAGAAGCCGCATTTGGACAAGGTCCTCTTACACGTCAAGTGATTAGGTGGTGAAGGAATCAACAAAATAAAAAAGGAAGAAAGACTGTTCATGACTTTCTCTTCAACTCGCTCAAGGTCTCTCTGTTTGTACAGTTTCTCTGTTAAAACTTCCTGAAAGGTTTCTATACTTCTAAACAACTCCAAGAGGCCATTAACCATAACGCAACGGTCACATTTCACAGCTCTGAATGAGAGCGACATTTATTAGAGCTGGCCCTGAGTCATTCAACAAGGGAAATAGAGTAACAAAAGCCACATTAGTCATACCTAGTGGGTTAGTTTCCATTACGTGAATAGTGCACAGTTTGAGAAGCTGGGGAAGAGTTGTCATAAGAAAATTAAATAAGGGCTTAAACTACTGAGTTATGCTCAGTAGTTAAAGATCTCATTAAATGTTTAACAAATCAAATTTCCATTTCAATGTCAACATATTTCCAACTAAAATAGGTTGCTACCTTTAAAGGGATTGTTCACCCAAAAATTAAAATTCTTTCATTAATTACTCACACTCGTCGTTCCAAACCCATAAGAGCTTCGTTCATCTTCGGAACACAAATTAAGATATTTTTGGATGAAATCCGAGAGCTTTCTGACCCTCCCATAGACAGAAATGCGACTACCACGAGAGTACCATGACACATGTGGTGTTGCTGACGCAGGAGCCAGTGTTCTGACGTAGAACCCGGATGCGGCTTGTTTGCAAGCAGAATAATTCACACGCATGCACCATGGTACTCTCGTGAACGCACAGTAAAGACTGACATGGAAATTGGAAGAAATTGTTGAATAAAGTCATTATGTTTGTTTTCTTTGTGCACAAAAAGTATTCTCGTAACTTTATAACATTACGGTTGAACCACTGATATCACATGAACTATTTTATCGTTGTCCTTACTACCTTTCTGGGCCTTGAGCATGTCAGTTACATTGCTGTCTATGCAGGGTTCAGAAAGCTCTCGGATTTCATCCAAATATATCTTAATTTGTGTTCCGAAGATGAACAAAGGTCTTAGGGGTTTGGAACGACATGAGGGTGAGTAATTAATGACAGAATTTTCAGTTTTGGGTAAACTATCCCTTTAAGGCTGTTACAAACTGCACCAACAAACACCTACATATGGAAACATTTTAAACATTTTAAGTGCTTATTTTATAGAAAATTATATCATACATGTATTTTAAAAAAACTTGTTTTTTTTGGGTTTTCATGTGGTCTTTAAGATACCTAAAGGATAAGGGTAGCATAGTAAGGTTAATGCTATATTTTTTATGATGGATTTATCTTTTTTTCTTTCTTTTTTTTTTATAAATACTGTATTGTGCCCATTGCATTTTTGAGAAGAAAATCCTCACTTCTTGCTCAGAAATAAACCAGAAGAGATAAGACAGGAGCTACAACATTTTACAATATTGAGGCTCGGCTTCAGCCTCCGCAGGCTTGAGCTATCTGTGTTTACTTTATCACATATTAATTCTGACCAATGCTCTGCAGCCTTGGACAGTCAGCAACTTCAAGTTGAAATACTGAGATGGATTCTCACTTTCAATGTAAAATTAAATAAAGAAAAATCTTCTTTTTTATGAAATCCTTGGGAAGTTAATTTTTGACTTGATATATTATGTGTGCTCTGTGCACATGCCTGTGCATTTCTGAAAAACACAATTGTGTACTGTATAGAAGCTCTACTCACCGCTCTCTGTTGAATTTGAGGGAGTGTAGGATAGCCGGACGTCGCTGTCGCAAATTCCAGAGATGCAGCGTATCGTCCGCACAAGCTGTGACAAGCGCCCCCTATGGATACATAAGTGTAACAACAACACTCAATCCATGCAATGAGATGGTAAGTTTACACCAATTTTAATAATCAAAGAAAGTTACATTAAATGTATGACACTTTAGACACACTTTTAGTTTTTTTTTTAGGTGTCAGTGGCACAGCTCGTGGCATCAGCCATTGTGCTTTTTTATGTGACAAAATATTATATTAAATAAGTCAGTTTTCTATTTGTGACCTAAAAACATGCATTTTATATAATATTGAACCTAATAGCACACATGGAATTGAATTGTATGTCTAAAGTGTGTTTCCGTTTCCACTTCAATGTCCTAAAATTCTATGATGGGGAAAATTATGCAGTATATAATGCATCTTCCAGGTCACAAATGAAATAAGAATTTACTCATATAGTTGCTAGGAAATGATTAACCTTAATTTATTCTGTCACATCGATATGTTTCAGTCTGTATAACTTTGCTGTTTTCTCATGCATTTCATGCATATTTCATGATATTAAAGTCCTCCTTGGATAGAGACTGGAACAGTCTGAAGAGAGATAATTACTTGCCACAAGTAATGCTGTGCTCTATGTATTACAAGACTTAGGATGGTGTTCATGGTTAATGGAGGACAGAAAGAGGGAAGAGAGCAAAAAGTGATGAAAGTGTCTAAAAGTGTGAGTGTGAAAAATCTGACAATGTCAGGATGACAAAGGTCTTTCTGACCCATTTTATCTGGAAGCCCTTTATAATTTTGAAGCCAATATATCGAATTTTCTTTTCAAATGCTGGCTGCAATGTTCAGGCAGCAATTAATACATGACAAACCTGGAAAAATGAATGGCATTTCATGTCGGGGATGAGAACATTTCAGTATTAATGTGAACTCGCTTTGTCAAATCACTGCCTAATTTGAGGGTGATCATGGGCCAGCAGGAAGTCTCTAAACACTTTATCTTCATGACTTTGTGAGTTTGTCTCCATCTTTGTTCTTTCTCAGTGCATTGAATCCAGATCCATCAGTCAGGTGACTGACAACTGTGTTTCCATGGAGATGGTGTTTAGGTAAACACAGATTGCACCAGCACACCAAAGGACAAAAGCAGAGAAAAACAGATGTCGAGAGGGAATTTTAGTGTTGTGTCAAAGTCAATGTGAATTCACATTCGCGACCCATTATAATTCCGTAACATGATATTTTCCAAGTGAAATGGGATTTTCAAAAAGAAAATAAATTGTGCACTTCAGGATTTGGTTAGATGGTAAAAGTGAGTGTTGCACACAAATATGGAACCAATTAAAAAATATAATAATAATAATAATAATAATAATATACTGTATACATATAAACTGGGATGAAATAAAATAAATTGATGAGGAAGTACTAAAATTTCTAAAACTATAAATCAAATAAAGCTAAATGTGCATATTAAAAAATAATTTAAAAATGACAACAAAATGACAAACTTATAGAAGATTAATAAATATGAATAAATACTATAATAGTATATAAACAATGCTAAAAATAACACAGATGAGAGTTGCTATTTTGGCTATTGGCTATTGTCCTAGTCTGCATGGCCTAAGTGATGTCAGCAGGAAAGGGAATTTGTTTCAGAAGAAGATACAGTTACAAAACAATCACATTTTTTCTTTGAATTAACATGCAATGATGAATCACATTCACAATTAGACCAAGGACGTGCATCTAAAAAAAATAAATAAATCAAAGTTATTTTGATTTTATGTTCACTTTATGCAGAGGAATATTATGGAAATTAAATTACAGTAGAACACTAATGAAATGATGTGTTGTAATTAGGGCTGGGCGATATAGCTAAAAATATATCAACGATATATGTTTCATATCGTTCGGTAGCATTGAGCTTCTATATTTCTCTAATATTTTGAATGAATAACTCAGCAGCGGCGCGTCTCGTGGGCTAGACTAACAAAACATTAAAATGCAAGGTCACTTACATCATCATCACCGCATCTCAGACACACTCCTAACATTCGATTGTACCATTTTTGCATTCAAATGCAAATGTTTATTTTAAATTCGACTAATATTCTTTTTTATTATTCACAATCTCCTCATCACAGGCAGGCACAGCACTCAATTCAGCATGTGTTCATGTTTGTGTGAGCTGTCTGCATCACTCATAGCACGTGCCTATATCGTGCGCTATATCTTTTTATATCGTTATCGATGAAGGTGTAGGCTAACGTCGATAAATATCGATACCGTTTTATCGCCCAGGCCTAGAATCCACTATAAGTGGTGTGGGATATATTGTACAAATGTAACCATTTGGTTAGCAAGGTAGCATCCCTTGTGATGACGAATGATATTTACAGCACTAATTTAGTGTTGTTAATAAAATCAATATGAATGAAGACTGAATCCCTGAAGTGTAATATCTAAATAATGTACCTCAGGATAAAATGTCAAGAGTGTGTGCGCACAATATTTGTCCAATCAATGCCTACAGGCTCACGTCTCACTAAATGAGATGATTTTCAGTGTCTGGTATAACATCTGCATCTTATTGTGAACAATTAATCAGAGCATGATATTCCGAAGAAAAAACAAATGTTTGTCTTTGTCATTTTTAATCAAAATGTGGCCTGATTCCTGAGGAAAAGATTCCATCATCTCCACAACTGACTGCAAACTCAGATTCAGGTCTGGCTCCACTTTTCACCAACCGATGAATTCCCAGCGGATGAAAAACCTGCCCTAAATGTTTTCTCATTGAATATACTCCTTCACTCTGAAAAACATCCCATTACAAAAGTAAAATGGCTCGCAAATGCCATTTTCTTTTGACTTCAGATGTGTTTATATGGGCTTATAGAAAGGAGACAGAAAAAGATGGCGATAGTGGAGAGTGTACCTAAATTGCTATAATCCAAAATGGCCACCATGGCAACTCTCCCACTTTCCCTCTTTTGTTAACGCACTAACTTCTCGTTATTCATGAGATGATGCGGCATGTGTGCATAAGAGCGAGACAGAGGCTGAGAAACATTCAGCACTTGACATGTCTGATGGGAAGTAATGACTGACTCCATTAACACCACAGGGCTGAGAGGGAAGGCGGCTCTTGACCTAAACGTATTCCTCTGCAGAGCCGAGCGTGCATTTACACACACATGCTGTCTATCCTAAGTTACAGATTAAAACACACACATATGCACTCTGCCCTCCTACGTGCTTTCTACATATGCTGCACACATGAAAATGTGCTGTAATATATGTGTGCCTGCAAGTGTGGGTGTTTGGTACCTCGTTGATGAGAAACTGCAGTTGGAGAACTGCCGCCCCACTCTCATGCTGGCAATGACAGTCCACTCCTGGCCGTCCCAGACTGATGACATCAGAGAGTTAAGAAAAAGAGGACAGTCATTTACAATGAAACTTTGATGCTTCAAGGTTGTACTTTCAACACTTTCCATACAGCACTAAAAGCTGGATTAAAACCGATAGACAGCATAGCGACCCAAGTAAAAACTCTCTGAAGGACTATGCATGAAGTTTAAAAGCTCTAAAAAAAACTCAAACACAGTTTGGTGTGTGTGTGTGTAACAGAAAGAGAGAGAGACTGCAAATATGTGCCACAAGCTTATGGACTCATAAAGTGACATTAAGAGCACTGACTCCAAAATCAGCTCCTCACACTGTTTTAAACAGATCTTCCTGTAGGAATTTGCTTAATGATTTATCTCAACTGTCCACACACACACACACACACACACACACACACACACACACACAGCGATCGATCACAAGACAGTCGGAAAGGGAAGAGCATGATGCCATTTGTCTCTCCTCTTATCTAAATGTGTGCACACACAGCTGTGTCCGATCACTTCAAAAGACAGTAAAATACCGGTAATAACAAAGGAGGAAAATGCTTTCATGACAGATACAAGGTCAAACTCATCCAGTATCATTCAGACCACATGCAGAAGTGGTTTATATAAATATCCACCTGTATAATATACTTTCTATTCATCAAAGAATCATAAAATAAAATGTATGACAGTTTCCACAATAATAAACTGTTCTCAACATTGAGAATAATAAATGCTTCTTGAGCATCAAATCAGCATATTAAAGGGGTCATATGATGCTGCTAAAAACAACATTATTTGGTGTATTTGGTGTAATGAAATGTGTTTATGCGGTTTAAGGTTCAAAAAACATTATTTTCCACATACTGTACATTATTGTTTCTCCTCTATGCCCCGCCTTTCTGAAACGCGTAGATTTTTACAACGCTCATCGGTCTGAAAAAGCGAGGTGTACTGTGATTGGCCAGCTATCCAGTGCGTTGTGATTGGCCGAATACCTCAAGCGTGTGACGGATATGTTTACAGATCTTCTTTATGCACCAAGAGCTTGTAACACTCCAAAGAGAAAGGAAAAATTTAAATCGCATCATATGACCCCTTTAAAATGATTTCTGAGGGATCATGTGACACTGAAGACTGGAGTAATGACTGCTGAAAATTCTGCTTTGCCACCTCAGAAATTAATTTAATTTTAAAATATATTCACATAGAAAAGTGTTTTGTAATAAAAAAAATTGCAATATTACTGTTTTTACTTTAGTTTTGGTCAGATAAAGAGAGTTGAGTCCCCTTTGAAGTTCAGGTACATGTCAATTCGCTGACTTTTTTCTTACTTAAGTTTCTTAGTTAAGAATATGGGTTGCAGCTCTTAATTTTGAACTCTCAAAGTGCATTAGATAGAATAATTTAACTTTAAAATGTAAACATTTTTAATTTTTTTCCCAATTCTTCATTTGTCTTTTTTTTTAAAATATCGCAATACATATCGTATCGTGGACTTCATATCACGATATTATCGTATCGTGAGATTTTGATATCGTTACATCCCTAATATATTACAACCCACAAGGGTTATTACAGGCCTACACCTAAACCACAAATATAAATGCACAGCTATAGTCTAGCTGACAACAAACAAGCTTGCAGTCTCGCATTCCATCAAACAGTAAAAAAGCCTTTACATTAAATTATATTAAAATAAATGCCTGCCAAATGCATAAATGTAAATGTATTATGATCCTTGTTTTCAATCCGAGCACTCCCGGGCTAAAAGCCTGGCGGTGTATACAAATTTTACAATACTAACTTCCTTTCAATCGTACAAACTCTCTCCAAAGCATCACTGTCCAGAGACATATCAATGTACCAAACATGCAAAATGATTGACAGGCAGAGAGGCGCCTCCAGGTTTTTTTCGGTATCATGCGTGGGCTCGGATTTGCTCAGATTTTTTTTTTTTTTCTGTCAACGAGACAGGTGTGATTTCTCAGGACTATCTAAAATATTTCAGTGATATCTGTCAGGTAGCAGGGTCATTTTATGCATGAACACAGGAACACATGAACTCGCTTTAAACACAGGATCCCAAGGCCATTAAACACAACAGAGCAATCAAACGGTCAAACATGCACTTTTATTTGCCCATCTGTCCCGCTGCTGCTCACCCAATCACACAATCAAAAGTTCATACTGCACACTGAAGGAAAAAGACAGAACGTTCTAGAATAAACCCCTACATTCAATATGTGGGGTTTGTGTTTTGAGGACGATCGGTCATCGGTATAATTGTTCTGCATGCTTGATTGGCTCTTAATTGCGCTTAGTTAAATTGTGTTGACAAACATGGGCGTTCAACCCACATGTTCAGGAATCAAGTTGTTCAGTAGTGCTTGGGATAGAAATCACCACTGAACACACACAGACCAATGCACAAACTCCAGATTAAACCATGTGCTTTATATATCGACTGCACAAATGGCTTGCTAATAAGATGAACATCCACTCGTAGATAAACCACAGGCTCAACTCAGCTACACAGCCTCTATAAAACATCACTTTAGAGATTTTTTTCCCGTGCACCACCAAGTATTTTTAACCTTGTTTTTGAAGATTCTATAAAGCCTTGGTTATATTTAAGTATTTGACAGATATAGATTTCCAATGACTTGTAGGGCCGTCAAAATGGCTGAAAAACTAAATTCGAATTTTGTACTTAAATATGATCAAAATTCGAATTATATTCGAATTTAAAATGCATAATTTCAGTTAGGGTGAAGAAAAGCTTTTGGCTTCTCTCCTGAGGCCACAAGAGGGCGCATCAACCAATGCACGTTTATTCAAAACATATAAGGTAACATGACTATCTGTGAAAAAAGTGCATAATGTTTAAAATGTTTATAAACCAATTATAATTAATTAAGTTGCTTTTAAACAACTATAAACAAAACAGTGTCATGTATAATAGATTTTTATTTTAAATTCGACGAATATTCGAAATTCGAATTATTTTTTGACAGCCCTAATAACTTGGTTGTATTTTTAATGAAAACCTTGCATTTAATGCAATGCATTAACATTAATGTCAATGTATCTCTCTGTTAGCTTTTATTTATGACTTCCATCCTTTTTTTATCAGCTTACTTATTGTTAGCTTACCTACTTCTAATGTACGCAATTTAAAATATATGTTAGGGCTTTACCCCTATAAAGATTACTGTATCATATTGAAGGACACATTTCTAAGGCCTCTAAATAATAATAATACTTAATAAGGAAAAGGAAAGAAAAGCAAGGAAAAGGCCTTTTAGTATATCATCACTGTTTTGCATGTTAGTGACAACTGATATTTTTAGGCATTTTATATATGCAGTCAGCTATATTATATGTTATAGAGATTTCATTGACTTACATTACAAGCTAACAGAATTTAATCTTGCTTTTTGGCCATATAAACATAAGCAACTGCACCAAATTACTTATTTTGCCTTGTTTGGGCCTTTCAATAAAACGGGGTTGTTTTTCCTTCGTTGAGTCTGAGCTCCATATATTTATCTAAAGGTTTAATAAACAGTTCCATTAAAAAAAACAAAACTGATTATTTCAAATGTCAGGGTTTACAGGGTTGAAATACCAGTTTGCCAAGCTAACAGCAATCAAATAAAGAATTAATTTCATTCATTAAAATCCATATGACCATATTGATGATCGAGCTGCTTCTTTCTACTTATAGTACGCTACATATAGTTACGGATAGCTCACCCAAAAATGAAAATTTTGTCATTATTTTCTCACCAACATATTGTTTCAAACCTGTTGATTGTCAGTGATGATGATTGTCATTCTTCTATAACTAAAAGAATGTTAGGCAAGTAAATGTATTGCATAGAAAACACAAAAAAATATTTACTGCTAAACTTTTTTGTGTGTAATAAAGAAGAAAGTCATACAACTTTGGAACAACATGAGGGTAAATGATGACAGAACTTTCATTTTTGGATGATCTATTCCTTTATAGCTCCAGCCAAGACTTTACGAGGTTCAAAACGACCACTGAGAGATGTTTTGGTGGTGAACAGGTCGTTAGATTGATGTTTCCATTGTGAAACAAGGCTGAAAAGAAAGATACATGATCGATGGAGGAAGAGGAGAAAGATGGAGTGAGTGAGGAGATGTTGAATAGAAAGACTGGTGACTCAGACCCTTAAAAGACGGGATGGAGGAGCAGAGTTGAAACCTAGAGTGTCAGTGAGGCAGGAGGTGAAAGAGAGAAATGAGTCAGAGAAAGAGAGAGAGACTTTAGCAGGTTTAAAATGGTGACTCAGATTGAGTAGGAGAGAGAGATTGAACGGAAGAGTTGAAATCTAATGGTGTCCATGTCATAAAAGCAACAAACACGCACACATATAAGGTGACGTTTCATGACTCATGCTGGATTTGCCCAATTTATACACTCTCATGTCTATAGATTTTCCCTTCATTTTCCAACATTAATTAATTAACATTATTTTCCACTGTTCTCAGTTTCACCTGCACACACTGAAAAATCTGTCTCTGCTTCATTAAAGATCACATTTTTAAATACATTTTGTGGCTTTTAGTCCATGTCTTTTAGCTTTCTGGTCAACTATACACTAAATCAGCTGTCATACTGTTTGTAAGTGCACATATTTAAAAAATTTCACTCTTTCTCTTCAGAAAAAAATAGATAAAAAATTGAAGACTCACAACACAGATTTCTGTCCACAGAATAAAGTCATACGAGTTTAAAATGATGGTGAGTAAATGATGACAGTGGGTGAACTATTCAACCAAGACCCCAGAAATGCATCATCCGAAGGTATAAGGCATGTCTGAAATGAACGTTTATGAAAATCATGTCTACTAAAATACCTAATATCGCTCTTCATTCCACTATTATAAAATAATATACAATTATTTTTTTAATGATCAACTGCAAAAAAAATTCAGCTGTGCAATCACAGGAATAAATTACACTTTTAAATATACATAATAA